TACCAGGTTGCCAGGATGAGGTCATCCATGAACCTATTCCCTTTCATAAAAAGTCGCTCTGCTCCCAGTGAATTGAGAAACCTGTGCTCGGCATAGGCACATATTACACAGGCTAGCGGAGGGCTTGCCCGCCCCCCCATTGGGATTCCATTCGTCTGTCTTAGCACCACCCCACCTGCTTTAAAATAAGTGTTGCTCAGTAGGAAATTAGTGATCCCCATAAGTGCCGTCATCCGTACTTATTTGGTTTTAAGACGTGAGGACCACCACTGAAGACTATTGGTGGAAGGGTTGAACAGGAGGTCAATATGTTGAAAACCATCCCAACCGTGGAAGCCAAGGAGGCGGAAGCCTACCGGAAGGTTGAGAATCATAGATGCATGGGATTAAGTTTTGAATTTGATTTGCTTACCGCGAAAGTTGTGGAGGCAAAAAAGAGGTTCACACATGAAATCTGTAATTTTCAGTTGCCCTGATAGTAGGGACAACAACGGAAGCCCAAAAGGTGGAATGGTAAAACTCATTGGTAAGTGACTTTATCGTAATATCGACACACCTCATTATACTATTTATAAGATCTACCGTGAAGTTGCAGGGTTGATGGGTAACTTATGTTTCAATGGTTTTGAACAAAAGGGCGACTTTTCATATGCCAGTGTATACTTCATAAAAAATGTTATTTTCGATGCTGTCAATATTATTAGGGTTTAAAATAGAAAAAACTACAATGCCTTGCTCTGCCCTTGGGTTCATCTTGAATGTCTTTTTGTAGCTTGGTCACATTATTGCTCACCAATTGTTCGAACTGTAGGCAAAATAAAAACAATGTTAGGTTGAAAGTGGGCTCGCTCGTTATAGACGGAATGCAAATTATGAAAGTTCATTTCCCAAAGAAAGGTTTGTCGAAATTCCTAGAGAAAGGTTTGCCATAATTTTGTTAGTCAAAAATTGTCTTAAACTTTTATAAATTACTTATACCACCACTCCATCTGGACTTTTTTTCAATGAACCGAAGTTAGGCATAATAAATTTTGGCCCGATACCTGTAGGCAAAAAAATGCGCAGTGCATAAGTTGTTGGAGTGTTGGTTTAAGTTAGAAGAGTCTCTCTTAGAGTCAACTTCCCACATATTATGAGAGGCTACTTCCCTAGAAGAAGACATGTCAAAATTGAAAGTTTCGTTATGCTCTAATATAATAGATTTGAAGTTCAATGGTGAACTTCAGATAGGCAGTTGTGCCAATAACAAGAGTGTTGGATCGCATTGCTATGAACGTGACTAAAATTCACTTTTACCCAAAAACTATTATAGAGGGACTCAAATAGTCTGTACAACACTGCATTTTGTTATCTAATGATAACAAACCGGTTTACCGACCAACTCTCACTCACCATTTCATACTCACACTCTATATAGAGCTGACCCTACAAAAATTGACATTTCTATTTTTTGGGTTGTCATTTTAAACCACCACTCTCTGCGACAGTCAAAAATTGACTTTTCGGGACCTTCGAAAGCCGAAAAGCCCCAAGATAGCGTAGGTCGGCAACCCCCCCCCCCCCCCACAAAATTTGGCAATTTTTCGTGCTCAGAAAAATGCACAAAAATATATGAAATTTGAGATCCCACAAATTAGATTGTGATCTTTCCAATAAATATCAAGCAAACAAAAATTGACAATGAAATAAATTGTCGCATGGTTCCGACGTCATTTTCATCTTCCGCGTCCAGAAGCGGGTCAAAGCCATTTCTGGAAGGAAAAAAATACTCAACTTCAATGATTTTTTGCTCTAAGAAAATGCATAAAAAATATGAAAACAAGACCTGTAAATTTGGTTTTTATCTCTCCAAGAGAAATATTAAAACATAGAAAAAAATCCTATTGATCGCAAAGTAAACTGCAACATCAACTTAACGCTCCCCCCCCACTAAATATATACTCTTATCAAAGTGTAAGCCGGGTCTCGTGTGACCCTCCTGTGAGGCACGGCTTACACTGTTGGGAAAACCGTGTTTCCTAATGGGTCCGCGGCGATCTGTGAGCCGCATGGACCGGAGGGCAGCGTGTGTGCATCCGCCGCCGCATGTTCAGATACAAGTACACAGCGACGGGAGGCTTTGTCATTTTCCATTGGATGCTTTGTCCTCTCGGGAACATTTTGATCGGATTTTTTTTTAATTTTTACATGGGTCTTGCCTGATGCTCCCGACTTGCACTGTCAAGAAAACAACGTTTCCCTGGAGGGCCCGCGGCGATGTGTGCGCCGTTCGAATACGTGTACGTAGCAACGGGAGGCTTCGCCATTTTCCCCTGGGTGCTTTTGTCCTCTCGAGATCATTTTGATCCGATTCGTCTTTTTTTTTTTTTTTTTTTTTTTTTTAAATACCGTTTCAGGGCGTGTGATGTTCACTGCACAACCTTTCGTTTTTTCATTTCTTGTTTTATATGGATCTTCCCCTCAAACATGGGAAGATGCGCCGCCATATTTTGTTGTCTTCTCTGCATGTGGTAAGGTAGTGGAATGAGGCCCTTATTTCTGCCACCACACTGCACGTCATTTGGCTTCTTTCTGTTTTTGTCGTTTCTGCCAGCTGCATCTTCCCATGTTTTACAGGGATATGCATTATCAATGTCCACATTTCTTGAGTAGTGGAGTCGGGTCCTAAAGAACCCACGGCGTGGCGCGACAGTGGCAGAAAACGACAATAACAGAAAAGAAAAAAGTGAAACAAGGTGCATAAGGGCCCCGCTCCACCGCTCACCGCATGCACAAAAGACAAAAAAAATGGCTGTGTATCTAAGCCACTCTTATTTCTTTTGTGCATGTGGAGATCAAGTGGAGTGAAGCTCAGGATGTCTCTGGAAGGGCGATTGGAAGGGTGACGGCCATGAGATATGGTGCCTCGTTCCACTACTCACCAGATGTGAAAAAAGGAGAATGAACCTTCTGCTAGAACTGCCCAGATACACGGCCATATTTTTTGTCTTTTGTGCATGCCATGAGATCATCAGAATTGTAGCATGGATCCAGCGATCTAGCTCAGTTGGTAAGGCTCGCGAGTGGCATTCAGGAGGTCGTGGGTTCATTCCCCATTGGCCTCATGTACCTTCCTGGCCATGGTTGGCGCATGCCACCTAGAGATAGACCACCTAGAGATAGACCACTGGATCCCGCAATCGGCATTGAGCAGTCTGCTCATGTTCGTAGGGAGGGGACCACCACCTGAGGAGAGGCACAGGGATTGGTCCTGTTGACATGGTCCCTGACGCTACCGGCTGCTGT